AAGCAGCTGGGGAACATCGGCCAGCAGGCCGGCCAAAACGAAGCGATCGTCGTGGCCAGGGTTCGGACACATCAGGGGCTACAGGCAAAGTCTCATGGCATGGTCTCCCATGGCATCGTTATCGTATCCTCTCAAAATTCTTCGAAAGTACCTTAAATATTCTTAGATATGGACAGGAATACAACTACTTCTAAATTAAATACTGAATTGTATAGCCTCTGTGTGCATGCAATGAGAAGAGCTCTGCGGATAAGTCAGAACTAGAGGGTAAATGAAAGCCAAGCCGTCAAAATCAACGCCCTGCTTTCAAGCGGAAGTACTTCATACATACATACATACATATACATGACAGGCATGCTCACAATCACATTCACACAACAAAAGCAAAAACTAAAAGCAAAACATTTAATTAAGCCAACACGTACGCCTCTGGCCACCCCTCCCCGGCGACTCGGGAAGATCAGCGCGGAGGCCCGCCATAACAGCCGGGTGGGGGTGGCTGCCGCATCGCATCTCCTCCACAGTGACGCGGTAGTGGGAGGGGAAGCTGACAGCATTGTTGTGAGCCATCTCGGGTGCCAAAGGGGCTTTGCTGTCTGGGCCGCTTTCAATTTCTATGTTTTCCCCATTCTGCTGCCCTCTTTGTTGGACTTCTGCATGTCGAGGGTGCAGCTAATCCAACAATCCCAAACCCCCTGCCCCTGCCCCTGTCCCTGCCCCAAGCAGGTGCCAAAGGAGGAGGTCGATTTTCAATTTATCCAAGAATGGATATTGTGTACAGCCATTGGCTTACATGAAATAAATGTATCAAAGCTACATATTATTGTTCGACTCGGAATTTGAATTGATTCCCTTTGGAATTCAATTCATCCGTCATTTCTTTTAATCTGAATATTATTGTATGTATTGTATGTATACATCAGCACTCATATTCTATTCAATAGAAATAAACATAGGTAGAAAGTATTTTATATATGGTTCTCGTATCTGAAACTCTTTGTAGAATCAATCAGTACCATCTAGAAAAATCTTTGATAAATAAAGTATGTGGGCCACATGTCCGAAGCCGGGCTCGATTTCCGATGGAGAGAAGTGCCGCCAATTTCTAGGAATTTTGCAAAGCAGACACTGATATACTCGGATACATCTTTTTCAGTTTATTGATATCGTTTTTATCCGTATTAATAAGTCAAATGCGCTTTAAAAGAAGCAATACAAAATGGCTTTAAACAAGCTTATTACTGATACTTTGTAGCACGAATAATAACACTGATATAATTGTGTTTATCCAAGCGAAATGAGATTATTTGGAACCAATCAACATATGCAAAACATCAGAAACGACAAATGCTCGACCTGGAGCTGGTCGTTTAATACTGAAATTTGTGTAAACCTTTTGGTAAAGCTGGTGCATATATAGTATGTATGAAACTATTGGCTGAAAAAAAACGTGGGCACCTTTAGCCAGGCAACTCGTAAATTTCGCGTCGGTCAGATTAATTTCTTTCGAAGGCTTTCCTGGAAAATCCTTGAAAATATGTAGATGGCAGCTCAGGGTAAAAAAAGAGGTGATGTTAAATGAACGCCAAGGTAAAATTTATTATCAATGTTTGCGCAGTTAAGCAAAAAAAAAAGTGGCACAACGACGAAGCTTCCAAAGAGCGAGGGTTTCTCCGCAAATTAAGAATTGGGCTTTAAGGTGGACCGAAAAAAAGGGCCAGCACATACCCCATACCACATACCCCACTTTTGACCGGCTATTAAATGTCATTTGTGAGGCCCTGGCCAGAAAATGTTATCTGAATGTTTTGACAACTTCCTTGACGCGTACTGCCTTGCACCTGAATGTCGTCGTCGGAAATACGTATACCTAAATATTTTCCTTTTTCGCTGCCCCATCTTGCCGCCCAGGCTATGTGCCATCTACAGTTTTTTTCCCCCTCTCAGAGCAGTTTATCAAGGCTCTCTTTGTGCTGCTGCTGCTGCTGAGGCAATATTTGTGTTAGCCCGAGTTGGCCCGTTTATATATATATTTCTTTATTTTTTTAGTTTGATTTATGGCAGTCGTGCTCTATTTTTTCGGTCGCTGGCCAAACTATATATGCCATAAACAAATATTAAGTGAAAAGCCAGAGATTCAAATGCGGGCTCGTAAATTTTCCGCTGCACGAACAAAACTTGGACAAAATCTTGGCATTCCCATTATAAGTAAATTTACTTACGATTTGCTGACTCTGCTCAGAAGTTTCTTGAGTGGACAAATTTCTTCGCCTGAGATGAATGGGCATCGTCTGTGCCCTCTGTCTTTCTGTTAAGTCTTAAGTAAAGTTTTGACCCGCCGGCGATCTTTATTCTGGTTTGTTTTAGTTTATTCCCAATCTACACCCAGTCATCCCTTTACTTAGTCACCATTCAGTAACAATTCATGCAAGTACCACCCCGGTGGATCTGTCTCATCATCATCTCCTCTTCGTACACGTTGAGCCACGTGTATCCATATTTATGGAATTATATTCACAGTGTGCGCTATCCCAAACATCCACAGCGAACATCCGCCTGCCAATAACCATTCATGATGCAGGACTGCAGTCCTTGCCTCTGCTCATTAAAAACACACACCCAGGTGGTGGCCATTCATTAAATGTGCGCTTTACTATAATTTCATGTGGGCAAATATTTTTGCTGTGGCACATTCGAGCAATATACCGGAGTGGCAGACAGTGAGGGGCAGAGGGAGAGGGAGGACAGCAAACATGGCCGACACTCTGCCTCCCATTTCCCACTCGAACTGACGCTGTCAATGGGCTGGGCTGGGCTGGGCTGGTTGTTTCTGTGTAGCCTGCAGCGCACCACTTCCTGTTTACATAAGCAAACACGTCAATGTGTCTGATGCCACAGCCAGCCCTCCCTGCCCACAAGGTTCCAACTTTTGCAAAAAAAAAAAAAAACTGTACATTAGCTCAACAAGGATTTTGTTTTCAATACAAAAGCACAAACTGCGCTTGTTCTTTATATATATATATATATAGACAGAATATATGTATGCATCAGAGGGCTTTAGGATTCGCGTGCGTATTTGTGTGTGTGTGGGGGTGGAGGACACTCTAGAGAAAGTTTAGTGCCCCGATAAGCACAGCACTGACAATGCTATACGAAAGCCATGATTTACAATTTGGAACTTAATGTTTTTATCATTTACGAATGCCTAATAAACATATGTTTAGGTAATGGCACTGATGATCCACTGATGCACTATACCACATAGCGTATAGGGCTGGGATTTGCGAACTGCCATTTGCAGGCCTCCTGGCTCTGGTGACGCATTAATTATCCTTTGAGGCCACATCGATTTATTCCTGGCAAACGCGTGAATTAATAGCCAACGACTTTTGTATCGAGTGGTAAATGAATTATGGGCACAGCCGCCCCTCCACTGTCTCGAGTGTCTCTCCATTCATCCCAGCGAAAGTTATGTAATAATACAATTAAGCATTTTCTCATGCTGAACACTGAACGCTGCGTTTGATTAACAGAAATTCCGAGTCAGCCAAGTGTAAGTCTGCCTGCCGGGGAGTGGAGTGAGGCTGCGGCTGGTGCTGCTGGTTTTGCTGGTGTCATGGTGGAGGTGGAGGTGGAGGTTGTCTTAAAGTTTTCCCCTCCAGCGGCCAGATGAGAGTGGCACAGCGACGAGAATGCAATTTAATTAAAATGAACAAAATTTCTTTTCATTTCCTTGGGGCGGAGGCAGAGAGTACGCGTAGTATAGTGAGTGTCTTGGGGCAAAATGCTGCAGATTTCTTCTCCATCGTCCAAGGCTCTACTATGAATGAGCTCCGTAAGTTATTTGTCAGAATAGCTATACTTTGAGCCAACAAATGGGAATTTCAGTCAAATAATTAACGAGTAAATTTCAGAGAATGTTTGTTAGGTATTTTAACAAAGGAAATCTCTTTCTAATAAGTCGCTTACTCGCCCAGAAGGGAGCATTCCTTGAGAAATCGTTTGCAACATTAAAGAAAGTACCAGCCACACATGGGTGGAGGAGGAGGAGGGTAACAAGAGAAGCGGAAGAGCAGAGACAATGCCCGAGAGGCAGGCATAGACACGCTTTTGTAATTAAATTAGCATTAATGCTGTCGCTGGGATTACGGCTCCGACATTCCGTCACACTCGTCCTTCGCCTCTGCGTGGAGGCTTCATCAAATATCGCTCATACGACGTGCTGTCCGTGCCCTGGCCACTTGAGTGAATTTATGACGCATTTTATGCACACAATTGCTCGACTATTGAGCTATTCCCTCGCTCCCCTGCTCTGCCCAGGACTCGGATCTGTGCGATTTCTGCTCGGAGCAATTAAACTTCAATTTTCATTTCAATTGCAACGTTGTAGCGTAATTCATTCCGTGTTTTATGACCTGCAACGGCGTGGCTACGTGCTCCTAATTGCCACTGCGAGCAAACTATTGTCAAATTTTTGCCAAGAGGGCTATAAATAAACACCCAGGGTTGCAGACTTTAACAGAATGTTGAACAAAACTTTTTACCCACTTCCAGTCTCCATCTCCCTTCCTCTCTCTACTCTCTACCTCTCTCTATATCTACTTGCCGTCTCTTTCTCTTCTGGCTGCCGTCAAACAGAAGAAAGTAAAAATGATTCAAGCAAAAAGTTTGCACACAAGTTAAACGAAGTTTTTAAACACAAAGTGAGTAGAAAAAAAAATTCTGAAACCGAGCAAAGAAAAAGAAAACAAAAAGTTGAATCAAGTTGCAGGGAAAAAAGTGAGAAAACAATCACAGTGTGAATTAAACGAATCTTGAATGCTCTCAAATGGAAAATCTTTTAAAATAACAAATACAAATAACTCTACTGTACGAGTATCAGTATCCCCCTTAAAAGTTGTCTATCGCAATGGTCCCGCAATCAGGGACTTAGCAGAAAGATAAATTTCGAATGGCTCTCGGGAATTTGCATATTTAACAAACTAGTGCGAAATCGATACATGACCACTGTCTGTGTCCACTCCACTGACAGTGGACCCAATGGAATAAAGTGTATCCACTACATGGTGGCAATGTCGGAAGTTCGGGTTAGGCCCAAGCACAGACTTGTGGCCGGAAGTGTGCACGTAAGCGTCTGTGTCAGTGCGCTCAATGTATGAGTGGTGTGTTTGTGTGTGTGTGTATGTGTGTGTGCTCCCACAAGGAGGCTGTTGGTGTAAGTGCTTTTTCAAGCAAATTGCCAATGTAAATGTTGCAACAACCAGTCGCCTGCAACAACTAAATGCGACCCTCATAGCAGCTGTGTAAACAACGGCAATAACAGCAGCAACAAGAGCAAAGTATTTGCTGATGACGTCAAAAGGCACCCACACACACACACACACACGGAGAAAGAGACACAGAAACCACCCAAATGCATTTAGCTGCCCCATTTACCCCGCCCCACCGCACCATTACTCTGACTCCGCACTCCGCCCTTGCACTGTACTCTCATGCAGACAACTCAACTGACGGCAACTCAATTCACAAACGAGGAAGCAACGCAACCAAAATGGCCGCAACGGGCCTTCCTGGCCGCCATTTTGCGTTTCGCTGAGGCACGCGCGATTTGATTTGATTTCATTGCTCTGCTCTTCAGACTCTGGCAAAGGCCATTAGGCGCTGCTCACGAGCAACAGTTGCAATTTGGCCTAGACTTGGCCAAAACATATGTACATACGAGTATTACATGCAGCATTCTCCTCTTCTCTACTTATTATGGCTATCCCCTAATCTATTTTTGATAAGTTTATGTGGGGGAGCTTGCAATGATTTCTGCTAGTTCGTCAAAAGTGTGTTTAAGTCGGGATAATTCTATACATACCATACGAGTATTTATGGACACTTACAGACACAATATATCTACTCAACTCGCTAATTATTTGATTTAGAGAAATTTCAGTAATTTGTAAGTTTTTACTATAATTTCGAATAGTGAATTTCTGCTCTTCTGTTTTTTGGTGGAGGGCCGATGAAATTGATGCAGATTTCAATACTCGACTAATTATAGAGATACAATCGGAGACAGTAATTTAAATGTTGATCTCGAGAGCAAACAAGAATCTGAATAGATTTCTGTGATATCCTCTGAAGTATTGTTATTTTCCTAAAAAATAAAGCGCCTCTAACTAAGACGCTTTATTTTTAACTCCAGATTGTGTATTTCTTATTACCCGGGACTTGTTTTTCCGATGCCAAGAGAATTTTCTTGGGATTACTTCTTTTTTTTTGCTGTAACTAAACTACTTTCAACTAGTACTCTCCTGGTTTCCAACTGTCTATCTCGGCTCTTTTCAATTCAAGCTCTTTCAGAGCTGAGGGCGTCTTTGCCATTGCAAATTAGTGTCACAGAAAAGTGCTTTCTAAGCAAAGAACTTTTTTCATTTTGCGCCATCTTGGGCTACATGGCGTATGCTTAATGCCTGCCTAATTAGTGTCTTATGAAGTCATATGTGAAAGGCAGTCAGTACTCAACTCAACGCTTATCATTATGCTTTGCTTACCGTCTACTTGCAGCCACAGACACCGAGGCGAGACCACTTGCAACGTGCCACAGACACAGCAGCAGGAGCAGAAGCAACAAGCACAAGAGAGTACGAGTATTAACTGGAAAGTGTGAGTGCGGTGGACGTGCGGCGGAGTTGTAGAGGAACGCCTTCACATTGGATTACGCGCAGTTTTACCTTAGACCGGTGCCAATTAGTGGCCAACAGCAGCAACAAACGCAGCAGCAACACCAGCAGATAGTGCAGCAGCAATTGCTAGCCCAACAGCAGCATCAACTGCAAATCCAGCAACTGCAGCAACAACTGCTGCTGCAACAGATCGAACGGGAGTTGCAGCAGCACCAGCAGCTTCTATACAGCCAGCGACAGGCACAGTGTAGCTACCCTCCCGTGCGGCAGCGTTGGCTCTCCGGCAGCCACTACGACTACGCCGCACCGCAGCAACTTGTGCCGCAACTGCAACAAACGCATCCGCATCCGCATCAGCAGCAGCAACATCTGCAGCATCTTCAGCAGCAACAAGAACAGCAGCAACAGCAGCAATATAGTTACTATTTCAGTCGGGGAAGCACCAGCACCAGCTCCGGCCTGGGTCTGGGACTGGGCCTGGGCTTCGGTCTGGGCAGCGGCAACCTAGCCAGCTGGTATGTACATTATCCTGACCCTGACGTCATCAAACGTTCATGAAATCAATCTCTTTTTCGAAAAAGTAACTCATAGCTTTCCCTTTCCGTCTAATGTATCCTCTTCTTGAGTTTCGATGCATAATTATGGTCCCAAGCACAATTTCTGCCTCACTTAAAAACGATCCTCAAAAATGTAAAATTTTCCTTGCAAAAGGAACGATACCCGATACTCAAACGCTTCCTTCTGGGTGTTACACACATCCTCTTTCACCACAAATCTAATATACCCCTGTACTATTTGAGTAATGTATTAATTTATAGGTGGCTGTCACGCCACCATATATGTATTACCTACTTGTTTCATCGAACTATCTTGGATGCTCTGGTATTTTAGGTACCATCTGCCCTCCACGTCGGCGCACATCTACATCGGGACAACCAGCAGCGGCGGCGCAGGTACAACCCCGTACCCATATCCGTACCGCGGACTGGGAGCCTATTCCGGCGGCGGCTATCCTGCAGCGGCTTTGATCAACTTTGATGCCTCGCCCACTCCACTACTAGCATCAGCTGGGACTTCGCCTGGCTATCTGCCGCCGCTCCCTGTGCCGGCAGTCCTACCCCCGCCGCCCCCGGCGCCGAGCGTAGCCACCGACTACTACTTCAGCAGCCGGAGCACGCGCACGCTTCCACCGCAACCAACAGCGGCAACGGCGATAGGAGCCACCACAGGAACAGCAGCAGCAGCAGCAGCATCGGCAGCCAGACTATCGCCGTTCCAAGAGTACACGGCTAACGCGGCGGAGGAGCTGCAAGCTGGCTATCGCTACAAGGCCACGCCCCGAAGGCGCTACGACGCCTACGACAACTACGGCTACCTGCCGGGCTTTGCCAGCACAACCGAAGACGAGGAGGACCTACTCGACGAGTGCTTGCCGGCGGCCCTACTCTCCACGGACTGCGACAGTCTCGAGGAAGTGCGCTTTCTACAGCACCAGGCAGAGGAGGACGACGACGAGGACGACGAGGAGGTTGCCACACAGTTGGCACACATACTTGACCTGCCCGATTTTTTGCATCCTTACGGCGGCGGCGCAGGCGGCAGCAGCAGGGGCAGCATACACAGCCACAAGACGCCGCCGCAACACGAATACCAGACGGAGCACGGCTCAGCCGCAGCCGGAGGGGGAGGGGGAGCTACTACAGGCGGAGGAGGGGGCGTGAGCGGCACGGAAGGAGGAGGCAGCATCAGCGGTGGTGGCGTCGGTCAGTCGCAACGCGAGACGGTTGAGCAACGCTATCACCAATACCAGTACCAGCAGCAGCATCACCACCAGCAGCAGCAATTCCACCATCATCATCATCAGCAACAGCAACAACAGCAGCAGCAGCAGCAGTTCCAACAGACCCCGCAGCAATCGCAGGGACATCAGCAACAGGCGTACCACTCGTACCAATATCCATCGCAGGACAGCTGCGAGGGCTTCAACCACTTCGCCAACGACACCAGCAGCTGTCTGGGCAACCAAAGAATGATGGTTAGCAAATTGTGGAACAGCTGTTTCCCGGAGTTCACGCCGGACCATGTCCATCGGCACAACTTCTATCTGTGCCAGGTAATGTGGTCGCACCACATAAGACTAAGTCGTAAGACTAAACCCATCACTCTCTCTCCCCATCTAGTGGCAGCGGAACACGCAGGTGCGCATTGTGTACCTGTTCTATCGCTGGATAACGGCCATCACCTGTTTGGCGGCGCTGGTATGCTCCCTGCTGGACATAGGGCGCACCGAGGAGCACTTTGAGCATCACTATGCCAAGTGGTGGATCTATCTGACCCACTGGGGCCTGCTCTTCTGCACGGTGCAGGCCTGGCTGGCCGCCTGGATAGTCACCCAGGGTATGATGGTGGAGCGCGAGGACTTTGAGATCGTGCGCCAAGCCAAGAAGAGTCGTCTGCATCACCTGTACTGGGTGCTCTACACCTGTGCCACTGTCTATGCCTTCATTGTCACCATGTGCTATTGGCTGCTGGTCCACAATTCAGGTGAGTCGATCGATATACACTATTTAATATTACCAACTAATAACTACTTAACTTCAAATACCTTAACTATAAATATCCAGTTTAAATTTTATCACAATCTCATATGTCTGCGATTAAATGGGGTTTTTTATTGTACTTCCATCTCCGCCCCACAAAATGTACATTTTCAGTTGTCGAATATTTTATCAAGTGGTTTTAGGTTTTCGTGTGGCTGAGATGCTGAAACTTATAAGTTTCGGGGACCCTATAGGGTGGATGAAGAAGTACTCTTAAAGAGTGTTGGCGGCTGGCTTTGAAGGACGTATAGCATTGACAGCATTGAAAAGATATGGTTAAGCAGATTTCTGTAAGTTTAATTTATTGCTACAATTTTCTAAAAAAATAGATGGACATACTCAAGACAAAGCATCGATTACAACAAAAAGTAATTAAGTCTTAGGTTACCAACAACCGTCTATCACAGAACCATTTGTCTTTACATTCGTCGTTTTCGAGATAGTAGTCAGACATATGGCTCGCCATGACAATACATCCCACAGTCATGGCGTAGTTGATGTACACCTTGGCGGCTGCATCCAGGTACTGGTGTGTGGTGAAACCGGATCGCTTTTTTGAATGTAGCTTTTGAGACATGTACATAGCCCAAGGTCCGAAGATCACCAAGCATAAGGTTAAGGGCACATAAACGTGCATAGCAAGCCCCGAGAGGAGGGTAATAATGGATACTATCAACACAGTGATGCTCACAAATATCAGAATCCAAAGGTCCGCGGTCAGCATTTTCGGCACCCACAGACCCAGTAAGGTGTAGATGAGTAGCACACTAATGCCGGCGAGAACGAAGTGCCAGGTGAGTGCCAGTTCGCATAGGCTGAAGCACATGACCGCCAGGGTTAGGCTCTCGAAGATGCATCCGAAGATGATCCAATTTAGGGGGAATGTGAACTGCAGCCGCCGAAACCCGAAGAAGCCCAGGGTCAAGTTGAGCCACGCCAAGAACAGCAGCAGCACATTCATATTCCGTTCGATGTGGTACAGCTTGGGCTTCCAGGCGTACGTGACGATCATCCACTGCAGCGAAGCCAGGGACACTTGGGCGAAGATGAGGACGTACACGTAACAGCGAAAGGCCAAGAGGGAGGGTCCTCGGGCACCTGTCAGTATAGTTTTCTTTTCCTCATCCACGTCGAGGTATATGGTCTCCGTTTGAATGTCGTGCTCAGTGTCTCCATAGGGACTAACCCGTGGCTGGGACGATCCTTCATTTTGTTTTTGTTCCTGTTGCGGACTCTCTTCATATGGTCCGTCCCGATACGGCTCATTGTTGTATGGATCGTCATCATATGGAAAGAAATCGTTCGGACTGGGATCAACCGCGTCATAAAGAGATACATCGTCGTACTCGTCCGGCCTCGACGTTACATCCGTTTGCGTCGCTGTGGATATCCGATGCGAAGTCGGGCTGTGTACAGATTTTTTATTAATTGACATACTGCCTGTCAGATTCAGTGCCCCAAAGTAACACACAGACAGATGACAGAGCCAAACGATAAAAGCAAAAACACAAAAACGGTTCACATCGATGAGTGATCCACACAGGGGCTTAAGGGGCCACTCCAAACTGCGGCTGTATCTGTGGATCTATGGAACGGCCCTAGTGTTTATTTTCATCAGCATCCTGCTAATCATATCCTTTGGCTTCATCAACAACGAGCCCGATAAGAGCTGTTGCCCGGCTGCCTTCTCCTTCTTCAGCCTCGGCCTACTCTCCTTGTTTTTCTATATGAACATGATGTTTCTGCGGCGCAAGTTTCCGATCAACTGGATAATGAGCTGCAGCATGGCTGTTGTCTTCGGTTTGGGCACTGCCTCTATGCTGTGCATGCAGACGGCCGGCCATGTGATTCTCTTGGCCCTGGAAGTAATCGTGATGATGGGCCTCCTTCTACTGCTCGGCTACTGGCTGCCACCGAAGTGTCACCCGCTGCTCTACATTGCCCTCACTTCGTTCATTTTAGCGGTTATAGCCTTTTTCCTGTGCAAAATCATATCGGACCACACCGACGAGAACCACGATAAAGTGGCTGTGTGGATAGCTCGCTTCGTTCTCTGGACAGCCATCTGCCCACTGCTGCTTTTCCAGTCGCAGGTGATCAACGGATACTGGGGCAATGAGTCACCCTATCTGGACATACCGCTCTGCTCGATCCTTCTGCTCATCGACTTTCTGGCCTGTTATGCCTTCCTGGATGCTGTCGACGATATCGAGATTGCCTACGACAGACTGTTTCGCTCAGAGACCGTAGGACTCATGGCCCGTGTCGGGAGGAGCGGAATATGAGCCGCGGGCAACCCAGCCGGAAGAGCATTTTTATAATCGGAATGTTCTTCTAAGACTAAATTACTAAAATGTACTCGACATTGCATAGTATTCGTACTATTATGAATGCCGAAATATATAGTAATCGTATGTATTAATGGAAACGATTGAGGAGTAATTGCTTGGGTGCAAATCATTTCATTTGAGAGTAGTACTTAGTGGTACCTTAAATTAAGAATAACCTAAGCTAAACATCAAAGTCGAATTCTAGTTTTTTAATATTTGCAATCCCCTTTCAGAAATCCACAAAATTGATACTTTGAACATTATGGTGCATGTGCTAAACTCGATTATAATGCTCATTGATTTGGCCATTGTTGGGCATCCGATTAAGATGAGCCACGCCTATTTTACCACGGGCATTGGACTGGCGTATGCCATATTCACTGGCATCTATTTCTTGGCCGGCGGCACAGACAGGTGAGTGGTCAGCACTTTCCTCGGCAGTCCGCCTGATTAATGGCTTCTTATTCTGATTCTTAGGAAAAATCAAACTGCCATCTATCCTATGATGGACTGGACCAAGCCGGGCAAGGCCATTATTGTTACGGCCTGTGCCATAATCTTCACCTTCTTTGTCCACTTCTGCTGCTACCTACTGTACCGGGGCCGGGTCTGGCTGTTCACCAAGCTGTGCATTCGGGGCCGCCACAATCGGGACGGGGAGATGGGCGAGGGTCTCAACGATGACTCGGGCTCTCGCATGGGCGGAGGAGGCGGCGGTGGCACTGTGGGCGGTACTGGAGGCGGGTTCAGTGGTTCGGTGGCGGCCGCTACTTCTGTGTGTGTTGGCGCCGGTGGCAGCAGCCAGGATTATGCCCACCAGCAGCAATACCCCATTCCGCATACGGAGCAGCCGCGGGCCGGCAATCAACAGCAGCATCAGCAGCAGCAGCCGCCAGCCAACTACCAGGCTCCGCCTCAGTACTCTGGCTACCTGCAGCAGCCCGTGGTTGCTGGCGTCAATGTGGGGGTGATCAGTGCGGAGGGAGTGTATCAACCGATTGGCACAGATTCCGGACGAACCAGTGGTGGGGGCGGAGGCGGTGTAGGTGTTGCCGTGGCCGATGGTTCCGGGAAACACAAGTCTGCTTCTGGCTCTGGTTCGGGCTCGGGGTCGGGCTCGGCATTGACGCGCACCGTAGCCCACTTAGATGCGTCGCAGCGGGAGCAGTTCCTTAACCCCAACAAGATCGTCGAGTATAAGATGTAAAGGCGTTGCACCCGGCACCGGTATACGTTCCACTTGTCCATGAAGTTTTTGGAGAAGCACTGTGCCCAGTGCGAGGCGACGCGCAACGCCATCAGCGAGGAGCAGCGCCACCTCGCTGATGGCGGGGGCGGGGGCGGGCACAGTGGTTAGCTTTAGAGTTGCTTTGAAGTTGCTCAAATCAAATTCCCAACTAGGTATCTGCCAGATCAGATCGGATCGAATCAGTATTGCACTTGGTATTGTACGGCATTGTAGTTTGTAAACGTAGTTTCGTAATTTTGTAAAAGCTTTGCCAGTTTTTTTTTAAATGTGTAGACTCGTTCTGTCTGCTAGCGACTTGAAGGAGGAGTAGGAGTGCTTGTCGACCATAATATTGAATAAATTTAGAATATTAGGGATATTCCTTTAGCAACATCCCCTTACGATATCCCCTTACGATAGCTGGGGGGGATATCCGTATTGTAGTTGCTCCTGGATGCTGGATGCTATATGCTGTATGCTGGATGCAATTTCCAACAATTTTAAACACTTTGAATGGACTAAGTTGAACATGGATATGTTACAACTCATACTAGTAGCACCTTAAGTTAAAGCTCAGTTATATTTATACCTTAAAATGCATCAATTGTGTTCAAGATTGTCGTTCCACAAATAGTTACAATACGTTCGGCCCATACTCCTTATGAAGAACAACAAACAACCGAAATGTCAAACACATACTGCCTAAAATTATGTTGCTTAAGTAATTTTTACATAGTTAATTTCCCATTTATCCGCCTAAATTTTATATATCGGTGCAGGTGTAAAGCAAGTACATGCACATGATCAGTGGCCCCAAGATCAGCCAGAGTCGGACAACAAATTATTGCTAAAATATTTCAATAAAAAAATTATAATAGTTTTTGTCTGCTCTTGGGGAACACTGTGCATGGACTTGGACTTGACAAATTTAATTGGCAGTTTTAGTGGCGCAAATATAGAGGATGGGATGAGTAAAGTTTAACTTTAAGATATGCTTGGCATTGAGTTGCTTAGTGTTTAGTAAATTGATCAAATAAAATACATTATTTCAATGGATGTTTTCCGCGCAAGCACTACGCTGCAAAAATAACTCTACGATATAAAGCACGACCGAAAAATAATATAAAAAGAATATATGTATATCTATATTTTAGCATAAAATGTTGAAAGTAAATAACTAGGACCTATACTTTTTGCTCAGAACAAACAAAGAAACAAACAAATTAACGAAATTACTGTACCTAACGAGGGGCTCAGAATGATTTCAGTTTTTCTGTTTTGTTGGTTTCTGTTTCTGTGAACCATACGGACAGCACCATTACAGCATTATCCTAAGTACCCTAAGAACCCAAAAATGCAAACACTTAGCAAGTGATTAGAGTTACAGCCAAATGGAAATGGAAATATGGAAGTACCCATACTCGTACGTATATGTACGTATATTTATGTGTATGTAAATAGTTGTTTTCATATATGTTGAGCGAATTCTATCTATATTCAAATGCATAGGCGACCCCCAATGACGGGAGGGAAGCTGTTGAACAATGAAATCAAATCTCGTATAAAAGTGTAGTCAACTTAAACCGAAATGCAACAATGAAACGAAAACCAAAACCAAAAACCAAAAACCAAAATCAAATGCAATGAATAAAACTCGTCAAGAGGAATGTGTTAACAAGCAAAAGCAAAACCAAATACAAATGCAAATACAAAGCATATTTAACTAAATATACAGAAGTCAAAGTGCAACCAAATACGAGTAGCATCCCCTAGCTATACATACTCGTACATACACACATACTTAAAATAAATAAATAAATAAAAATACAAATAAAAACACACACGAATACAAATGCAAATACAAATACAAATGCAAATACAAGAATGTAAAGCCTAGTAAAGTAATGCAATTAATTTTTGATAGATTTACATAAACAGAACGCTCATAGCTCATATTCTAGAGACCTCTCACACAGAAGCAGAACTGCAGACAGATCGGATCCTTAGCAGATCTCCAGGATGCTTTGTTTGATGTTTGATGTCAGCATTTTGATGTTATTTTTTTCCCAGTTTCTTTTTAGATAAATTTAACCAGTTTTGGTTTAGGTTTTTAGCAGAACTGAAAATGTGCTTCGTTTTCGTGTCAGTTTCCCTCGCCTCGTTTCTCCCAATTTGTTTTCCAACATTTAGCATAAATGTATAAATGTATGTTTATATAGACTGAATATTATTAAAAAAAGAAGAAAATCTAACAAAAAAAAAATAATTAAAAAATATATATAAAAGAAGCGAATAAACCTTTTTGGAATGTGTAAAAATATAAACAAAAACTAAAGCCAGAGTTCATATTAACCACAACGTAAAACAGTAAGCACATATCAATAATTAAACAAGATCATTCTTAAATGAAAATTAAAGAAAAAGCAAGCAAAAGATAAATTAAATTAAATCAAATGAATTAAATTAAATTAAATTAAACGGAAAGCAAACGTTTCAAAGTAAACAAATTCAAAGTTGACCTCATCAAGAATCACCAAACACCAAACAAACCAAAATGTTTAAACTTGCATAAAGAAATATGTATGTATAAATGTTAAACAATCATTACAATACGAATACGAGTATATGTACTATATGCAGAATATATTTAGCAAAGAGAGACAAATTCAAATATTATATTTTGTAGATTTTTAGTAAACTAGAAGTGAGTGAACGTGAACATGGACAGCATATATCTAAAATATATACCCCCTGTATACATACATACATACAGTACATACAGTACACACATCCCTGCATATACAATACATAGTATAGACATGTAGCTCTCTGTACCCGAGGCGAGAGTTTGTTCAGAAGTTGTTGGGGAAACAAACGAGAGAATGGAAAAGCTTTAAGAAACCCAAATGGTTGGACGAAACATTTACACGCTCCAATAAAAGTTGAATTAATTGCTCAATCGGAGTCATCCATTGGCTCATCCAGGGTCGTACATGGTCGTCGTCCCATGGACGGCTGCTCAACAGGGGACGGGCATTAGTAGATGTGAGGAGATGTCAGGCATTGATGCGAGTATACAAAACAAATCATTCACTCAACTGTTATTAACAAGAGCACACCAAAATGAAAATTTTAATAAGCTGCATGCGGTCGTGGATTGCTAAGGAGAATAAATTAAATTTCAACGTACGAGTAATAGTGAAATCTACGAGTAAGTAACTAAAACTAAATTAACAACCAAATGCAAAAGAAAAACCACAACAACTACAACAAGCAAGCAAATTGTTTACTTCAAAAGTACGAGTATTTCTGCGCATTTAAGCAAAATCGTAAAAAACAAATGGTTCAACATTTCCAATTAAATGTGTCGAAATTTTGTTAACCAATTAAATACGAAAACACATTCAAATTATAAACGAAACAAGATTTCAATGAACAACAACAAGCTAACAAAAACAAAAACAAAATTCGAAAGGAAAACTAATAAAATCGTTAGAAAACGCATGAAAATGTTAACGCTAATGATGGAAGGGAAAGGCATTTTAAAGGTACAATATGTATTACCAGCAAGAAGAAACAGAAAAGTATAACTCGAAATTCATTAGAAAACGTACAACGTGTATGTGTATGTATATGCCCGTGTACGTACAGGCATCATATATATTATTATTAACTATTATTATGTATTTGAAAACAAAGAATTGTGAATTAGTATTAAACCAACAAAAATGGCAAACAAATGGTGGTAAATAAAGAATGTAAAAGGTAAACAAAAACTAGTTAAGTTGTTAATCACAACAATCAGAAAATTCCATCAGCATCGTTTCTGGATCCATCTGCCACCCGGAACTACTGAATATCGCACTGGGACGATGAAAATTGGCGTGCATGAAGAAACGGAAGCTAATAAATCCTTTTCTGACACTGCAAATAGCTACTGGCTCTTAGATCTTATTTACGGAATCGATAGAACCATATCCGTCCGTCCCTCCGCCCTGCATATGGCCAGGCTTAGGGACTAACATATAAGAGTCGATTTTGTGTGCAGAATTCTTTGGTAAGAAGAGAAATTAAGGGAGAAAGAAATACTGGGAGACAGTTCAGTATGGAAACCGTTATAATGTTGGTGGTGGTGGTGCACAGAGTGCAGGAAAGAAATATCGTATACTTTACGATTTTGCATTCAACATAATGGTTTTTTTTTTATTTTTTAATAAAAATTGGGAACTAATTGTTAGACTGTTATTTGTTATTTTTAAACTTATAACATTTACGGTCAACCCTTATGTTAGGAATCGAGGCACAAGAGGCTTAATTTTCCCTCAAACTTTATAGTACTGCTGGCTGCAATGCCTCGAGTGAACTCCATTCGAACCCTTTCATTGAGCAAAGTATTAAAGTAGATAAACTAACACCGAGTAAAGATTTTTTTATTCAATAAAAAAATTAGGGCTTATTAAATTAGGGTCTAAATCACATTATGGTCCATAATCAATATAGATATCTCCTCTTCGCCTCGCCGTCCATATTATTGCTGTGCTCCATTTGCGAGCATTTGCTGGTCGAGGGCCATCTGCTTGAGAAACTGCTGATGTTGCCGAGGCAGCAGCTGACGGTAGTAGAGATTCGTGTGAGCCTGCTGCTCCAGCACGGCCATAAGTTCGAGGTACTGCGCCTGTGCCTGCTCGGCCCGGCGACTGGCCAGGAGACTGCGATGTCGACGCTGGTGCTCCCGGGGGCTGAGCTGGCGGGGCGTCTCAGCGAGTGTCGGCCTGAAGGTGGGACCCAAGGCGGGAGCAGTGGACTCTGGTGGACAGGCTGTGGGTGGGGATGCCTTGTCCAGCCAGGGGCGGAAGAGTTCCTTGGTTTGGCGGCGCTTGGCGGATTGCTTCTCCTGGTACGTCAGACTATCCGTGTTCGATTCTGGGCGTTGGTCAAGCTGCTTGTGGGTGTAGCTTAAGGTCGTCGTAGAGTTATCCATTTCGGTTGATGACGATGCTGTTCTCCAGATGTTTGCTGAGTGAATGGTTGACTCTCTGCTCTAACCTGCTTTTATACACGGATCAGGTAAAAAAGGATGTGATACCATTTATTGGGTAATACCATACCATACTATTAAATATTCGTTTTGTGTGGACCAGGGAATCTCTTTTATGACCTGGTCTTGCTAATTGTCGTCTCGGCCTTGCCTAATTATTTTTTTTAAGGATTAGCACCTACCGATCGACCAAATATTGCCACCGGAACAAGAAAGCTATCTACAACCGTTTTGCAAACAAGCCGGTGTTTTTTTTATTGGTGTACTTGACGCCATTATCTGTGTGTAGTCCTTCTACCTGTCCAAATCAGATTAGATACAATAAGTATTATTCATTATTATTAATATTATTATTATTATTATTATTCATACCTGCGATGACCCCTTATTCTGTTTGACCCATAGTACTTTTGTCAATGACAAAAAGGATCTTCGCGTATGATTTTATTTGAAATTTTCGAATTATGTGTTCTAGAAAAATCCAATGTCCGACTATGGGCATAAAAAATATCAAAGTTTATGCTTCACATATGACTTGGGAACCAAGAAACATAATTTAAGTAATTAAAAATATTTCAAACAATTTAAGAATTTAAGTTAATATCAGTTTACGATGTAATTTATATGAAAAGTTGCCGTAGAGCTCTTCACTCGCGTTCAATGTGGTCTATAAGGAAATCCAGCTGATCATAGGCAGAATACATATATGTTTGGAGACAACCCAATGACAACTTTGCACTTATACCTCAAGATTTGCCAACAAACCTCAGATTTCAGTCTACAAGTGATTTGCATTTATGTAAATAGAGATATATATTTTATATTTATTTATAAGTCATTATTTCACAATCCAATGCGATTTCTAAACCTTAATACAAAAATCTATTTGTCGTTTTACATTTTGTTTCGTACATTCTCATAATTGATTTCAGTGTTTTTTTAAGTTTAGTCATAGATACAATTAGTATTTTATTTTTCTTTAACATTAAATAATTAGTAACATAATTTGGTTTACTGCGACTTAAATATTAATCAAATACACACAGGTATACAAAAAAATGACAAAATATAATAATAAACTTTTCTTTTACTCCTCACACGCCTATAAACTAAAATTAGTTTTGTTTAATAATCAAACGATGGTAGAATGCCTCACTTTTCTTCTTGCATTTTTGTGAAAATTTACAAATGAAACAAAAACAACAAACAAGAAGAGTGCAAAGGTGTCGAAGGAGAGTCAATTTAACTTTATATCACGTATATGGGGATTGGGTTGGGCTCTGGCAAAACGAGACGACAGATTGTAATAGATTTTAATAATCATTAAACCATACACAAACACAGAAATTAAATCTTTAGGCGGGGGTAACTATTGAGGAATAGAAGCCATCGGATCTAAGAGAGCTTCAAGTAGGAAGGCGGGGAACATTTCTTGCGCAAGAACTTGATTATGTACAGAGGCAAGCAGGACACTAGCGTGATGAGCGACACCTTCCAAAGGAAGTCGTACGACCAGATGAACTCCCAGTCTGCGGGCCAAAAAAACACGAGGTTAGTAATGTAGCAGGCTCTGCCCAGTCAAGTGTCGCAGACTTACCGAAATACTCGTGCAAGACGGCCAGTGAAATGAGATAAAGGGCCAAGCTGAAAAGCTCTGCCAGCACCATTAGTCTGCAAAAAAAAAGGTACAGTTTAGAATGCTCATAGCTCGTATTTTTCGTAGGAACTCACCTGTGCCAAGTGCGCACAGTGAGGGCCACCATGATCAGCTCAGTCATGATCAGAGCCGAGAAGCTGATGGCCACAATGTGTATGAACTCGTCCACGAAGAGTATCAGGGCGCCGTACATGATGACACCGCCTTGGTATATGCTAATCAAAACCCAAATAAAGAAGGTCTTATAGCTGAGACTCCGACCCTTTGATAGATCCTTATATAGCTCCGGATACGTGACAGCCGTCTCCGAGGTGATGTCCTGATCCAGCACCAGCGAGAACACCGGGAACATGGTATACAATGTCGAATATCCGACCATGAGAAAGCCCTGATACAGAGCCACCGAACTGAGGTAGAAAACTGCCGAGAAGACTGCCTGCAGGGTGGTGATTATCAAGCCACGATGGATGACGAACTGGGAAAGAGCCGCCGAGCGCTTGTAGCTCCGCCTACCGTGGATCAGTAGCAGCTTGGCAATGTGTGAGAATTGCGGAATGCTGAAATCGCCAGCCAGGGAGGCCTGTCTGCCTTCGCGTCCTTCGATGCCGACGCCGGCGTCCGCCTGCTGGATCATGCTGACATCATTTCCGCCATCGCCCACAGCACAAGTGCGTTTGCCCGTGTGCTTCTGGATGAGCGCCACCACTTGGGCCTTCTGGGTGGGCGAGCATCGACAGCAGACGACAGCCGGGGAGGCGGTAGCCAGTTCAAGGAACTCTGGTCGATAATACTGCAGGCAAACCTCAAGAGACTCGCCTTCAATGACAAGGGCATGGCCCTGCTTGCGCCTGAAGCTATTCAGCTCCTGATGGGCATCCGTGCGCGTCTTCACGGAGCGCAGTACATGCAGACCCTGGTTCCGGCCAATTAGCTGCGAAGACTTTGCAATGCAGCAGGCTGTCTCCAGCTTATCTCCCGTCAACATCCACACCCGAACACCCGCATTGCGCAGCAGCTCTAAGGTTGGTCGCACATTCTCCTGCAAGCGATCCTCCACCCCAGTGAGGCAGAGCAGCTCCAGTTCCCTCTCCAGCGATTCGGTCACGGCAGCCACCTTGGCCACGCGATCTGTGATACTCAAGCGGGCCGCATTGTACCGCATCTCAAAGTCGGAGTACTGCTCCTCCGTGAGCACCTTCTTGGCCACGACCAATGTGCGTAGACCTTCGCGGGCCATGTTGCCCGACTCTTCGCTGAGCCAGTCATTGTATTGCACAATACTGGACATTACCACATCGGCGCCCTTTAAATAGAACGTTATCTGACCGGATTTGCTCTCCCTCACAATGATGCCCATGCGTTTGCTTTCACTGGTAAAGGGGAACAGCTGCAGGATCTGATAGTGTAGTAGGATATCGTCTGGAAAAAAAGGCATTTACTTGGGATACGAGTGCTACACGACTGTCGCTACTTACTGTCCTCGCTGGGGGTTTTCACTTGCAGCGTCATGGTATTCAGATCCCTGGCAATCAACGTCAATCCCACCTGCTCCGTCCATTTGACCAGCGCGATCTCATCGGGCGATGCTGCCTGGTACTGATGCTCTGTGTCTGTGCTGCCTGGGGCCTCGATGTTTATCACAGATTTGGTGGGAGAGTTGTTGCCGCCCGTGACCGTGGATGCCGTGGACACAGACCGATTGTCCTCCTCATCACTAACGGGGGTCACATTGTGGCACAGTGCCAAAGCGCGCACCGCCTCCCACTCCCGCCAGCCTTCGGGTCGCCGCATGCGATTGCCGGCAAACATAATAGGTTTGGTGGCGGTGTTGGACTCCCCACTGCTGGAGCTAGAGACGCTGCCCTGTTGGTGCTGCTGTTGTTGCTGTTGCATTATGTTGCCCGAGAGCTTCTGTATAATGTGGCCAATGTGATGGAAGGTGTCCGCATCGTGTGAGACAATCCCAAGGTGGATCTTCTTAAAGACCATCTCGTTTTGGGTGAGGGTGCCCGTCTTGTCCGTCAGCACATAGGAGATTCTGCCCAGCTCCTCCGGTATGGTTGTGGAGCGCACCACAGTTCCCTGGATGTTGGAGTCGTTCTGCATTTGCCACGAGTAGAAGGCCTTTCCCATGTCCAGATTCACCCGCAGGCTGATCGGAATGATGTACGAGAAAAGCAGGACAAAACGGAACATATATCTGTACCAGGGTCCACCGAAACCCTTCAGCATCATCATGACCAGCGACAGGCCCAACACGGCACAGAAAAGAACCTGAAAGAACGGCAAAAACAAATTAAATCTGTTCTTAGTAGGTAGATTCTGTTACCTTTGTCAATCCATTGATCTCCATGTCCAGCAGACCCACCTTGGACCTGGGCTGGGAGTTGTTCATCACGCTGCGAGTCTCGCAGCCCGTGTAGATGACAATGCCAGTGGCTGTGCCGGCAGCCACCACCGTATTGGCCCACAGCGTGTTCTCCACGCTCAGGCCGGTGTCCTCGCTGCCGTCTGTCATGCAGAAGGTGGCAATAAAGCTGTGTATATCGTTCTGGGGCTTCTCCACATAGAAGCTAGCATCGATGCTGTGCAGCTCGGAGTCGCGGCTGAGCTTCTGGGTGTACGGTACAGCCAGGCGGGGCTTCCAGTCCGTCTCGCCATCGAGCTGATCCGTTCTCACGAAGACAGAGCCACTGCGATCGCTGGTGCGCAGCAGGATAAGATCCGCGGGCACTCGTTCGTTCTTCTCTACAATTATGACATCTCCAACCTTCAGCTTGGAGCTGGGAACCATCTCATAGCCGCTGCCATTGGTCGCCGACAGTCGCTTATACTTCTGGGAGTTGACCTCATGGTCGCGCTGGTGCCGCCGCAAATCGTCGACGGCCTCACGACAAATGGTCACCATCAAAACAAAGCCCAGCGGTCCCCAGTAGGTGTACGGATAGCCAATACGTATGTCCGGAATGAACTGCGAAAGGGCCATCAGCAGGAAGTAGAGGTTGAGGAAAAAGCGGAACTGCTCGAATAGCACCAGCGGCAGGAAGGTAATGAAGTTGTACTTCTGGTTCCGGATCTCGTTCGGCGGAAACTTCTCCGTGTTCACCCTTCCCAGGTTGACGGTGCGGGCCCGCAGTTCCCGTGGCCTGAACCATTTTCGCCAGCAGCTGTAAAGACACAAGAAAATCAATATATAGATGCTCTTAATCCGACCAAAGCCAAGGAGCATTCTTCTGCCCAGATTCCCAAATCAAAGTCAAAATTTTCTGTCTGTCAGCCGTTCCGCATACTCTGACTGGCCCTCTTTTTGATACGATTTCGAAGGAGGGCACAAGCGGAACATCCAGGGAGGCATACAAATTGTTTTAAATTTAAAAATACTATTTCTTTTTTCTTTTGTTAATTTATTTTCTATCATATCAGTATCTATCATTCGTTCCGCTTTTCCCCCTACAGTCTCACGCTAATTAAAATTTCAATCGTATTTCCCCTCGAGTCCATAACAATATGCAAAGGGAGGCGACCTTGAACAGAAAAAAAATCAATAATAAAAACTCGAAAAGAAACAAAAGTGAAAACTCACACGACAGCCATTAAGCACTGGCCAAACGAAACAGCAGCTGCTTGGTAGCAGTCAATGAGAATGCAAATCCATCTGCATTAATGCAACGGAATTCTCCACGCAAAAAATGTGCACTGCGTACACACAAAACTTATCCCAACTACGTCACGATTTCTGCAAATCAGCTGCTGTCTCGTTTAAGAAGTGCTTAATAGAATTTGTGTGG